CATGGGCTGTCCTGAGGGCCGTGTGGAGCCTTTGTGACATCGTGGGGTTGACATCGAGGCTGATGTCTTGTGGTCGAGAGCGCTGCTGAGGGGCTGTCAGGTGCCTACGGCCATACCACCCTGAGAGCGCCCGATCTCGTCTGATCTCGGAAGCTAAGCAGGGTCGGGCCCGGTTAGTACTTGGATGGGAGACCGCCTGGGAATACCGGGTGCTGTAGGCTTTTCTTTTGCTGCGTGGTGGGCAGGCAGTGCATGCTTTTGCTCGGGCGGGTATGGCGAGGGGCAGGAGGGAAGGGGCAGGTGTGCCTTGTGTGCCTTTTTTGCCTTGTGCGTGTGTTGTGTGCTCAGTCTCTCTCCAGATTCCGTTGTGGGCATGGGCTGTCCTGAGGGCCGTGTGGAGCCTTTGTGACATCGTGGGGTTGACATCGAGGCTGATGTCTTGTGGTCGAGAGCGCTGCTGAGGGGCTGTCAGGTGCCTACGGCCATACCACCCTGAGAGCGCCCGATCTCGTCTGATCTCGGAAGCTAAGCAGGGTCGGGCCCGGTTAGTACTTGGATGGGAGACCGCCTGGGAATACCGGGTGCTGTAGGCTTTTCTTTTGCTGCGTGGTGGGCAGGCAGTGCATGCTTTTGCTCGGGCGGGTATGGCAAGGGGCAGGAGGGAAGGGGCAGGTGTGCCTTGTGTGCCTTTTTTGCCTTGTGCGTGTGTTGTGTGCTCAGTCCGTCCTCTGATCCCATTTTGGGCATGGGCTGTCCTGACGGCCGTGTGGAGCCCCATGAGGTAGTGGGGGGTGCCGACAGGGAGATCTCTTGTGGTCGAGAGCGCTGCTGAGGGGCTGTCAGGTGCCTACGGCCATACCACCCTGAGAGCGCCCGATCTCGTCTGATCTCGGAAGCTAAGCAGGGTCGGGCCCGGTTAGTACTTGGATGGGAGACCGCCTGGGAATACCGGGTGCTGTAGGCTTTTCTTTTGCTGCGTGGTGGGCAGGCAGTGCATGCTTTTGCTCGGGCGGGTATGGCAAGGGGCAGGAGGGAAGGGGCAGGTGTGCCTTGTGTGCCTTTTTTGCCTTGTGCGTGTGTTGTGTGCTCAGTCTCTCTCCAGATTCCGTTGTGGGCATGGGCTGTCCTGAGAGCCGTGTGGAGCCTTTGTGACATCGTGGGGTTGACATCGAGGCTGATGTCTTGTGGTCGAGAGCGCTGCTGAGGGGCTGTCAGGTGCCTACGGCCATACCACCCTGAGAGCGCCCGATCTCGTCTGATCTCGGAAGCTAAGCAGGGTCGGGCCCGGTTAGTACTTGGATGGGAGACCGCCTGGGAATACCGGGTGCTGTAGGCTTTTGTTTTGCTGCGTGGTGGGCAGGCAGTGCATGCTTTTGCTCGGGCGGGTATGGCGAGGGGCAGGAGGGAAGGGGCAGGTGTGCCTTGTGTGCCTTTTTTGCCTTTTTTGCCTTGTGCGTGTGTTGTGTGCTCAGTCTCTCTCCAGATTCCGTTGTGGGCATGGGCTGTCCTGAGGGCCGTGTGGAGCCTTTGTGACATCGTGGGGTTGACATCGAGGCTGATGTCTTGTGGTCGAGAGCGCTGCTGAGGGGCTGTCAGGTGCCTACGGCCATACCACCCTGAGAGCGCCCGATCTCGTCTGATCTCGGAAGCTAAGCAGGGTCGGGCCCGGTTAGTACTTGGATGGGAGACCGCCTGGGAATACCGGGTGCTGTAGGCTTTTCTTTTGCTGCGTGGTGGGCAGGCAGTGCATGCTTTTGCTCGGGCGGGTATGGCAAGGGGCAGGAGGGAAGGGGCAGGTGTGCCTTGTGTGCCTTTTTTGCCTTGTGCGTGTGTTGTGTGCTCAGTCTCTCTCCAGATTCCGTTGTGGGCATGGGCTGTCCTGAGAGCCGTGTGGAGCCTTTGTGACATCGTGGGGTTGACATCGAGGCTGATGTCTTGTGGTCGAGAGCGCTGCTGAGGGGCTGTCAGGTGCCTACGGCCATACCACCCTGAGAGCGCCCGATCTCGTCTGATCTCGGAAGCTAAGCAGGGTCGGGCCCGGTTAGTACTTGGATGGGAGACCGCCTGGGAATACCGGGTGCTGTAGGCTTTTCTTTTGCTGCGTGGTGGGCAGGCAGTGCATGCTTTTGCTCTGGCGGGTATGGCGAGGGGCAGGAGGGAAGGGGCAGGTGTGCCTTGTGTGCCTTTTTTGCCTTGTGCGTGTGTTGTGTGCTCAGTCCGTCCTCTGATCCCATTTTGGGCATGGGCTGTCCTGACGGCCGTGTGGAGCCCCCATGAGGTAGTGGGGGGTGCCGACAGGGAGATTTCTTGTGGTCGAGAGCGCTGCTGAGGGGCTGTCAGGTGCCTACGGCCATACCACCCTGAGAGTGCCCGATCTCGTCTGATCTCGGAAGCTAAGCAGGGTCGGGCCCGGTTAGTACTTGGATGGGAGACCGCCTGGGAATACCGGGTGCTGTAGGCTTTTCTTTTGCTGCGTGGTGGGCTGGCGGGGCGTGCTTTTGCTCGGGAAGGTATGGCGAGGGGCAGGAGGGAAGGGGCAGGTGTGCCTTGTGTGCCTTTTTTGCCTTGTGCGTGTGTTGTGTGCTCAGTCTCTCTCCAGATTCCGTTGTGGGCATGGGCTGTCCTGAGGGCCGTGTGGAGCCTTTGTGACATCGTGGGGTTGACATCGAGGCTGATGTCTTGTGGTCGAGAGCGCTGCTGAGGGGCTGTCAGGTGCCTACGGCCATACCACCCTGAGAGCGCCCGATCTCGTCTGATCTCGGAAGCTAAGCAGGGTCGGGCCCGGTTAGTACTTGGATGGGAGACCGCCTGGGAATACCGGGTGCTGTAGGCTTTTCTTTTGCTGCGTGGTGGGCAGGCAGTGCATGCTTTTGCTCGGGCGGGTATGGCGAGGGGCAGGAGGGAAGGGGCAGGTGTGCCTTGTGTGCCTTTTTTGCCTTGTGCGTGTGTTGTGTGCTCAGTCTCTCTCCAGATTCCGTTGTGGGCATGGGCTGTCCTGAGGGCCGTGTGGAGCCTTTGTGACATCGTGGGGTTGACATCGAGGCTGATGTCTTGTGGTCGAGAGCGCTGCTGAGGGGCTGTCAGGTGCCTACGGCCATACCACCCTGAGAGCGCCCGATCTCGTCTGATCTCGGAAGCTAAGCAGGGTCGGGCCCGGTTAGTACTTGGATGGGAGACCGCCTGGGAATACCGGGTGCTGTAGGCTTTTCTTTTGCTGCGTGGTGGGCAGGCAGTGCATGCTTTTGCTCGGGCGGGTATGGCAAGGGGCAGGAGGGAAGGGGCAGGTGTGCCTTGTGTGCCTTTTTTGCCTTGTGCGTGTGTTGTGTGCTCAGTCCGTCCTCTGATCCCATTTTGGGCATGGGCTGTCCTGACGGCCGTGTGGAGCCCCCATGAGGTAGTGGGGGGTGCCGACAGGGAGATCTCTTGTGGTCGAGAGCGCTGCTGAGGGGCTGTCAGGTGCCTACGGCCATACCACCCTGAGAGCGCCCGATCTCGTCTGATCTCGGAAGCTAAGCAGGGTCGGGCCCGGTTAGTACTTGGATGGGAGACCGCCTGGGAATACCGGGTGCTGTAGGCTTTTCTTTTGCTGCGTGGTGGGCAGGCAGTGCATGCTTTTGCTCGGGCGGGTATGGCAAGGGGCAGGAGGGAAGGGGCAGGTGTGCCTTGTGTGCCTTTTTTGCCTTGTGCGTGTGTTGTGTGCTCAGTCTCTCTCCAGATTCCGTTGTGGGCATGGGCTGTCCTGAGAGCCGTGTGGAGCCTTTGTGACATCGTGGGGTTGACATCGAGGCTGATGTCTTGTGGTCGAGAGCGCTGCTGAGGGGCTGTCAGGTGCCTACGGCCATACCACCCTGAGAGCGCCCGATCTCGTCTGATCTCGGAAGCTAAGCAGGGTCGGGCCCGGTTAGTACTTGGATGGGAGACCGCCTGGGAATACCGGGTGCTGTAGGCTTTTGTTTTGCTGCGTGGTGGGCAGGCAGTGCATGCTTTTGCTCGGGCGGGTATGGCGAGGGGCAGGAGGGAAGGGGCAGGTGTGCCTTGTGTGCCTTTTTTGCCTTGTGCCTGTGTTGTGTGCTCAGTCCGTCCTCTGATCCCATTTTGGGCATGGGCTGTCCTGACGGCCGTGTGGAGCCCCCATGAGGTAGTGGGGGGTGCCGACAGGGAGATTTCTTGTGGTCGAGAGCGCTGCTGAGGGGCTGTCAGGTGCCTACGGCCATACCACCCTGAGAGTGCCCGATCTCGTCTGATCTCGGAAGCTAAGCAGGGTCGGGCCCGGTTAGTACTTGGATGGGAGACCGCCTGGGAATACCGGGTGCTGTAGGCTTTTCTTTTGCTGCGTGGTGGGCTGGCGGGGCGTGCTTTTGCTCGGGAAGGTATGGCGAGGGGCAGGAGGGAAGGGGCAGGTGTGCCTTGTGTGCCTTTTTTGCCTTGTGCCTGTGTTGTGTGCTCAGTCTCTCTCCAGATTCCGTTGTGGGCATGGGCTGTCCTGAGGGCCGTGTGGAGCCTTTGTGACATCGTGGGGTTGACATCGAGGCTGATGTCTTGTGGTCGAGAGCGCTGCTGAGGGGCTGTCAGGTGCCTACGGCCATACCACCCTGAGAGCGCCCGATCTCGTCTGATCTCGGAAGCTAAGCAGGGTCGGGCCCGGTTAGTACTTGGATGGGAGACCGCCTGGGAATACCGGGTGCTGTAGGCTTTTCTTTTGCTGCGTGGTGGGCTGGCGGGGCGTGCTTTTGCTCGGGCGGGTATGGCAAGGGGCAGGAGGGAAGGGGCAGGTGTGCCTTGTGTGCCTTTTTTGCCTTGTGCGTGTGTTGTGTGCTCAGTCTCTCTCCAGATTCCGTTGTGGGCATGTGACCATCGGGAATACTGGGTGCTGTAAGCATGTCCATTTCTTTGTTGATTTGTCCTACATTTTTCTTCCTTCTTCACTATTCATTTTGGATTTTTTTATTAATCTTTGGTTGTTTTAGTCCGTTTATGATATTAAAGTGTTTTTTCTCATCTGGTTTTAAATTTTTTTATTTTTTTTTTTTATGTTGACTTTTGCATGTTTGTTATGCACAGTTTCCGTTTTGCTCTTGTCCCTTGATTGTCACTGTATGTGGCCTGCAGTTCACTTCTGTATCACTTTGTGATGTTCTGTTGATAGTGTTTTATTCTGAGAGTTCTTTGTGCTGTCATGATGCCTCTTTTTGTCTTTACTGATGTATTTCTCAGAGGGTGCTTTTTCATGGCCTGGGTTTTGGAGTGTGCTGCTTGGTCTGTGTACTAGGCGAGGAGGCCCTGTGTTTCTGTTAGCGGCCGTGCCATGGTCTGGAATGCCCACTGCAAGATCCCATCCCACGTGCTCTGTGGGACAGCCCCAATCGTTTTCTATTCCTATCCCACAGCCTTCCTCTCTTTCCAGGCACATGCTGCCTGACCCACAGTTCCATGTCACCCTGTGGGCCGCACCAGAGACATGGTCCCTTTTTTATGGAATCTGCCTCTTGGTGTCACACAGAGTCTTACCTCACCTAGCAGCGCATCGAGCTCCTCCCGGCTCAGCACAGGGTCAGTGCCAAGGGCTCCATCTTCTGCCTGTGTATGGAGAGATGTCCTGTCACCTCCCTTGCTGCCCTCAGCCTGCTCACCTTTTGGTCAGGGCTACCCGTGTTCAGTCCCTCACCTGGTGTGGGCCCAGCTCATGCTCCCCCATTACAGCTTCACTAAATTGCCTCCATGTGGTGTCAGCCCACCGTCCCTCACTCTGCCTGACCTACCTCTACCTTCCTGCTCCCCTAAGGCCCCACTTTTCCTCTCCCACCCCGTTCCTGGCACTTCTTGTGCTGACCTTGGCTGCTGGAAGCAGTTGGTCTCCAGCTGCTGCAGTAGTGCCCAGACTGCCTGTGTCCAGGGTGCCCATGCAGGACATGCACAGCTGTAGCCCCCTATACCATCAGATGTGACACAGACCAGTCAGGGCTGAACCTCCCAGGGAGGAACTAAGGCTGGGATGTAGGGCGTGATGGGGAACTCACCTGGGGTCCCCACTGGGAGCAGGACAGTGGTGGGGAGTGAGGATCCGGGTGCAGCAGCGGCTGCAGACGCTCCCCTCCCCTCCACCCGGCTGGGTGTCCCGTGCCGCCTCCCCCAGGACCTCAGCGGGTCTCTCCACTGGCAAGTCTGCCTCCAGCAGCTGGCCTGGTTCAGTCACATTCTCCACACAGGAGCCACACCGCCATGTCCCGCTGCACAGCGCGAGCAGAGCAGTGAGGGCCGGCAGGGCGCACTGGCATCCCCGTGTGCCCTGGCACTCACCTGGGGACGTGAGGCAGCGGGGGCACCAGGCAGGCAAGGTGGAAGGCCCTGGGGCAGCCGTCACAGCAGATGAGCTCACCGCCATCACCGCATGCTGCACACTCATCCTCATTCTCCTGTTCCCGGGGGAGTGGGCAGGGGGTCACTGCCACCCTCATGGGCTGAAGCCATAGCTGTGGCAAGGTCTTTCACCCCCCTTGCTCTCTCCCCCTGCATCACCCACCCTGCATCAAATATACCAATCCTTTCAGGGGTGGTAAAATAGCCTGTTTCTTGGGAGTAGGAACATGGTGCACCCCCAGTAGCTGAGCCCTGTGTTTCCTTTTCAAGGCCAGGGCAAATGGACATGCCAGGGAAACCGCAACAGTTCCTCCTGAGGGTGCACCAGGTGTCACACCCAGGGCTCACCTGGTGGGGCACAAGGTCCTGGCTGTAGACAGTGGCTGCTTGCAGCTGGCCCTGGGGGTGCAATTGGGGTTCCCTGTTCTGTTGTGAGACAAAAAGGGGTTTGGAGAGGCACTGCTTGCACTGGGGGACACCCCCAGGCCATGGCTATGATGCCATGCAGGAACAACCCCCTGCCACAGCCTTGACAGCTGCACAAGATGGGGGTGAAAACATCTGAGGGGGGTGTCCACACTTTGGCATACCTTGGGCTGGGCAGGGGGCTTCAGGCTGTGGCTTCTGCTCCTGGCCTCTGGCTCCTCGCAGGCAGTTGGGGTATATGGCTTGTCACCAGCTCTGCTGCCTGTCTTGGAGTGGCCTGCAAGAGAGGCCAGAGGCAGCTCCAGCTCCCCTTCCTGAGGGTGGCTCCTGAATTTGGGGACTAAAATGGGCAGGAGGTGGCTGGGCTGAGCTGTACTTACTTGGATCCAGCACGTGTTTCATGAGGATGCCCTCGATGGACCCACGGGTGACAGGCACCTCACCACCTGCCACAGCCACCGCTCTCTGCACCGAGGCAGCCACTGCCTGGAGAGCTGCGGGCAGGGGAGCGGCTCAGTGGGGTGGGGGGTAGCCCCCTGCCCGCGGCTGTGGGCAAACAGGAAACACAGGCAGAGGTTGCCCTGGGGGTTTTGGCACTCACTGCTGGCACGAGAGGTGCGGGAGTTATCTGTGCCCTCCGGCTTCTTCACAGTCTTTGCCTTCACTAGGGGCCCTGCAGCATTGTGAGGATGGGCATCAGGGGGCACCCCAAAATACCTCGGGGGCAGCACCCCGCCTCATCTCCATCCTGCTCTGGGTCTCCATACCAGGACTGGCACTGTGCCGTGGAGCGGGCTGTGCCGTCCGGGCCTTGTCCCGTTCCTCAGGGGCTTTCCTCTTGCCTTGGGGTCTGTGTGGGGCCGGTGCTGTGGGGCTCGGGGAGAGACGCCTTCCACGGCGCTGCCGCCCCAGCTCCACCTCTGCAAGAAGAAAAGGGACTGGGACAGGCACCAGCACCCTGGCTGTCACCCCTGCCCCTGTCAGCCCTCGGGGGTGCCAGTCCCACCTGACCCCCTACTACCTCTGGGGAAGGCGCCGCGGAGAGGCCGGAGCCGGGAGTACCGCTCCAGGTTGTAGTCCTTGAAGAGGACGGCCCAGAAGTCTCGGACGGCGGCGGTGTCGCGGCCCAGCAGCCAGGTGAGCAGCGCGTGGAAAGCGCGGTGGGAGCCCTCCCGCTCCGTCCGGCTCAGTGTCTCCTGCCGGGCACACCACCGCCCACGGGCTGCCCGCTGTCCTCTGCCCTCCGGCCCCAGCCCCGACGGCACGGCCGGCCTGTCCTGCTCTGCAGCCTCACCTTGAAGATGTGGTCAGGGACGACATCGTGGTCGGCCAGGCCATGCAGCAGCGGGAAGACGTCGTCCACTGCCATGGCGATCTCGGTGCGGTGCAGCTTCAGCAGGCGCCGCAGGTCCCCGTCGCTGCCCGGGCCCGCCATGCCCGGGGACACTGCCGGAGCCCGCGGCCGCCCGTGCACTCCCCTTTAATACACCCTGGCCGCGGCACCAGAAACCTCATTGGACTCCCGCAGCCCCACTCATTTCTGTACGAGATCGTAACCTGAACCCGTTCCTCCCGCGGGGGCGGCGGTGCTGGGTTTATCCCCACGCCCCAGCCCCGGGCTTGAGGTCAGGCACCTCCCCAGCTCCGCGCGGCAGCAGCCAGTGTGGGGTCGGCTGTGCCGCTGGTGAAGGACACCCAACCCGCGTGGAACATCCTGGGGTGACCAGGGAGAGGGGGTCAGTGAAGTTCTGGCAAGGGACTCCCACCTCTCTCCTATCTGCGGTCACCCAGGCGTCTCCCAAAATTTCTGGACTTTCCACAGGACCTGTTTCTCTCATCCAGAAACTCAGCTGCAGGAGCATGTGGGAAGTAAGCACCCAACAGTTTGGGGGTGTGACAGCAACGAGAGTCAGGGTGCCTTTGAGTGTGCCTTCCCCCCACACTGCCCACTTCCCTTCCCAGCATCTCTCACTGACAATGTGGTCTGTCTCAAGATAGAAACACAGGGTACTGCAGGAGGAACTGTCTGTGTGCTCACATAATGAACGCATTCCAGAGACAGAGGAGCCAAGATGTGAGTGATTTAGGGGCACGTTGGCCTGCAAAAACATATAAAATGCTGCTGGAGGCTGGGCCAATTAAGCAAACTGCTCTCCTGCAGGTAGCTTCTGTGGGGCAGCAGTAAGTGCTGACACACAAAGAAACTCCACAAAAGATGTGTTGGGATACAATTGAGGATGCTGAACAAGCAAACATCTCTCCAGAGCCATGGCAGTGCCATGAGTGTGCCCAGGGAATACCTGGGCAGGTGCAGCCCACAGCTCTGTCAATACCCACTTCCCAAAACTGAGCATATAGAGCTGCAAAAAGCTTGGAGACAGGGAGAAGCTGGCTCCTTGAAAGCATCTGGCATAGAAAAGTCTGGAGGTCTGGCTGCTCTCTACCAGGTAGCTGGGAAAGAGAAAGCTCAACAGCTCCTACCCCAACTCCCAGACATTTGGATTTCCCCAGGATCAATTTCTAGCCTCCCTCACTCTGAAGGTGTGTCTTGGGCTGTGCAGGAGGCTCTGCCAGGGGTGCTGTGGCTGTCCTGAGGCCCCTGACCTGAGCAGGACTGGAGCGCGGTGCAAGATGGGACGCTGCTGGACAGCACAAGAGGATACAGGGAGGAACTTTAATTGCTATGTCTTAAAAGAATGGAGCAGTATCTACTGGCTCCAAAGCTGTGCCAGGAGGAAGCATCTGCTGTCAAGAAACTCAGGAAGAATAACAAGACAACACCCTTGGTGAGAGCAGGAAATACCCTTGCACATGTCTGGTTAATAAATTAATGTGGTTGCCTTTGGAAAGGCTCACCCTGCAGCTCCTTTCAGCATTCAGGGGGATTTTTCCTGTGGAGGCAGTGAGAGCCATAGGATGGGGGTAGGGCAGCTGTCATGCCGGGTTCCTGTGCCCCGCACCAGGATTGCTATGCCTAGCTAGCTCTACCACAATGGGGATGGCTTCACCACCACCTGTGCCATGCATCCCCCCCCCCACCTCCGTGGCAAAAAACGTGGATGTCAGGTGACACAGGAGGTTCAGCTCCCCTCCTGGAGCTCTCTGCTGAAGCCCAGCCACTGGTGCTGAGCACAGGCACAGTTGTGACACAGCCTCACAGGTCTGCTCCACTCTTCCCAGGAACAGTTTTCCCCACAATTTATCACTGTCACCCTGTGTTAAGCTGTCTGGCATAGCTGGTCTAGGATGAGGCTCTGGCACTTCCCCCGGCCTGCCCAGCTCCCTCGTGGGGAAGCACTGCCCAACACTCCATGAGCCATATGCCCACAGAGTTGGGCTTGGACTTGTTTTAAGTTCCAGCTTTGTGACTCTTTCTGTGCTGAGTCACAGACGTTGTTTTCCACATCCAGCCCACTCACTAGTGCCATGATTTGCGTTTTGGGTTGTTTTTTTGTGTTCCTTCCCCTTTCTGAGAGGGGCAGGAGGCAGAGCACTGGCCACAAGAGGCACATCCATCCTGGGAAATCAGGCGGGTATTTCTGTATAACCTCACTCTGGCCAGCCTGGGCAGCTCTAAGGAACTTGTAAAGGCTGCAAAAAGGCAACTTTTGCCTGAGGCTGGCATGTGCCCTGCCTGGCTGTCAGGGCCCCAGGTTGGGATGCTTGGCTTTCAGGATGCCCTCTCCTTTCTATTGCTCCCCCTGCAGAAACCAGGACTCAAGGGGCGAAGGTTGACAATGTTCCTGCCCAAATACCCACTAAAATCAGTGACTCAGCATCCAGCACAAGTATTTGTAACTCTTGGGATGCATCTCGATTCCCTCCTGCAAAAGCTGTTGATGCAAACACGCCCCTTCCAGCATTTCCTATTTCCCTTACTTGCTGAAGTCCTATGGTGCAAACCATTGCTGTGTCTCTCTTGGACACAACTGCCCCTCACTCATCTCAAACAACATCCCTGAACCACAGGCAGGAGAACAGGCATCAGTGGAGCACTCGTGCATGGGATCACACCAGGAAGGCAGGGAGGCCCCACCTCAGTCTCTGATGCCAATCCCACCACACCACCATGAGGAACACAGAGTCCTCATGGAACACTGCCACCATGTGCAGAGATTTTATTCCTCTCCCCTTACCTTCAGCTGCTCCAGGTTCCAGCATCTTTGAAAAAAAGGGCTTCATGTGGGCCCCTGTGCCAGATTCCCACTTCATGCAGTTTCCCTACCACCACCCCACACAGTCTGGACAGGAGCAGCTCCACCTACATGCATCCCAGCTGCTTCTGCAAGGGCCTGGGAGGGAGAGCTGAAGCAGAGAAAATTTACTTTAGCTTCAGTTTCCTCTTTCCTCCCCCTTTAAAAAGAAGAAACAAAAGCCCAGAGGTATGTTATATTAATTTATTTGGGACACACCAAAAAGGAAAGTCAACAACTGTTAACGTACAAAAGTACAGAATCCTGGGACAAGATTTACTGTCCTGATTAAAAAGGCACCATGGTCCCAAAGAAGAGTAATCAGAATACCAGAATACATGATTTAGAAATTTTCCCCCTGTTGCAGCAGAAAAAGAGCCAGGCTTTGGCTCTATCCACAGTCAAACCCAGTTAAAAAAACCCAAATATGATTTTAATGTGATAAACTCAGCTCAGCCTGTACAGGATGTCGTGAAAAGAATCACAGCCTAGAAGTTGGTCAGATTTTTTGTCTTATTTTGAAACAGTGAAGGTGGTTAATCACTAAATAGGTAACAAGGAGGACAGCAGAATGCTGACACCTGCAGCTTGACTTTCTGTCAGACACGTCAGTTCAACTGAGACCATCAGGCTGAGTGTGGGGCTTCTGAATGAAATGTAATTCCCTGTGATAGACAGGAAGTCAAATTTGACAACCTTAAATTCCCTGAATCCCTGAAAATCATAAAGCACTATACAGCTGTGTTCCATATCCGAGCCAACTCAAATAGATTTGTTTTTTCCCAAGCATTTATACTTCAGCTATATCTGTAATAAAAAGGGGGCTTACAGTAGTTATATTAAAAAACTTCTACTTTGGCGAGGTCCGAGCTTGGCTATATTCCCTGCTGAAACAGAGCTGCTGGTGTAGAGACCCAGTGAGAGGCTCAATCCAGCACCTCCGGGCTGGAAGGCAAATAGTTTAAACGTGACATAATTTGCATGGGGAGGTCAGTGAAGCACGTCAGAGAGAGGAGATGGAGGGAGGCTGTGAAGCCTCAGGCAGCGGAGGCTCAAGGGTGCTGCTACCAAACCTGTAAAACTACGAGTGGTGCAGAGCAGCGGCAGACACTAAATACTTTGGAGCGACTTACCATGAAGAGCTTGTCAGAGACACAGAGCAAGGACCTCGGCAGTGAGGAGCACGGTCCCTGAGAAGGGACACACAACTCACAGCCAGGCAGATCTGTGCCAGGTGGCCCAGGCTGGAGCCTGCCTGGGCAGCCCAGCCGGGGCCGCTGTGTCCCAGGAGACCAGCAGCTGCTCTGTGTTTCATTCCTCCTTTGGCACAGGACTTCAAAGCAGTCTGAAGACTGATTCATCAAAAGTAAATGAACTGTCAAAATTATTCGTACATGCATTTATTGTTAAAGGGAGCAAAAGCCAAAGAATGAAAGAGCACGAGTTAATGTCAGTAAATGATGTGCAGGACGGAGAGGAAAGAAACGGGGAAAAGCTGAGATACTGGAGTGGGGAAACCAACATTCACACTGGAAGGTAAATTTTAAAACCAGGCAAGTTTGCGCTCTTTCTACCACAGATCTTTTGTGGACAAATAAGAGACTTGGGGGTTTTCCATTTTCAGTGTGGTCTGGCAAGGTTTGGGCATCTCACCAGAGAGATCTCCAGCACTGGGTTTCACTGGAAGTTCAAGTCTCTTACCTTTAAAAACCAGTAAAGCAACTCTTAACTAAAAAAGTCACAGATATGTCACTGCTCAGGATGTACGTGGGTGAGAGGGTCACGCTTTGTTCAAACAACCTCCGGGTGGAAAACTACCATCTCCCCCCGTGCTGGTCTGCATACACCACCTCGGGGGTGGAAGAGCAAGCCCAGATCTGGGTGCCTGCTGCTGTGAACACCACAGCTACACCTGGGAAGGCTTATTCTTCCCTATGTCCTAAAAAGGCAGTATAACAGTTTATAAAATTACTCTCATCTTAAAACTAAATAATGCAATTTGCATTTTCTCCTATTTTAACCCCCTCCCCTGAAAGATAAAACATTACCACTTCATTTAGAATTCACACTCCAGATCCTAGATTAGGGACTTCATGATAAAACTCATCCAGTTATGGGAAGGTTTATCCTGATCAAGGAAACGTTGGTAAAATAGAATCTAGAATGAAACATTCAGAATCATCAATGCTTTAACAGCCAAAGCACTCCACTGTCTTCTGCTCCCTGCCTGTTCCTCAAGCAGGAGAGCAGTCACTTTCCAAAAGCACAGCGTGCCTCTCTGGGGC